GACAATGAGAAACAATGAAATCTGGCCTTGTGTAGCAACATGGATGGACCTTGAGGGTGTTATGCTGAGCGAAATAAGTCAGGCAGAGAAGGACAAATATCATATGTTTGCACGTAAAGGAGGATTAGGAGGAGCTTGACGGAGGAACAAGGGGGAGAAGAAGGGGGGAAATGGTGGGGGAAAGGGAGAGAGGCAAACCATGAGAGACTCTTGAATGCTGACAAAAACTGAGGACTGATGGATGTGGGGGGGAGGAGGGATGGGCATGGAGGAGGACACTTGTGGGATGAGCACTGGGTATTATGTGGAAACTAATTTGACAATAAACTATTTGTAAAAAAAAAAATTGTTTTTAATTTACATTTTAGTATCTAGAGAAGCTGCACTACTGTCTTAAATATTTAAAAAATTTTTAAACATTTATTTATTTTTGAAAGACAGACACAGTGTGAGCAGGGGAGGAGCAGAGAGAGAGAGGGAGACACAGAATCTGAAGCAGGCTTCAGGCTCCGAGCTGTCAGCCCAGAGCCCAACGTGGGGCTCAAACTCATGAACTGCGAGATCATGACCTGAGCCAAAGTTGGCCACCTAGCCGACTGAGCCACTCAGGCGCCCCTGTAAAGTTGTACAGCAACTTTAGAAAAGGTAAAACAGAATGAATGTTCTTTGAATGAATTTGTAGGTGAAAAGTTTGGCACACATTAAGTGCCTGCAAGTGCTGACTGTTACGTCTGTGTGTCAGCTCCATTTGGTTTTTCATTTAAATCTGAGCTCCAGTGTTCTCCTCTTCAGAAAGTCTTTGCTGACTCTGGCAGACAGCAATCTGTTTTTCCTCTCTGCTTTTGTAGATCGTTGCATGCACTGAATAAAGTGAGTGCGTACATGCTGTCTTCCTGGCTCAGGCATTTGACCTGAGGACTAACTAGACTTGGCCATATTAATTGTGCTGTGTGTGTTACGGTAGCCAACACAGTGTCACACAGATTATAGACAACTTGATATTGATGTGAAGGAAATCTCCTTAAACAAAGTACTGGAATATCAAGTTTCCATTTCCTGGAAACCAAGGAGTTCACTGTGTTAGCTTTGACTTTTCATTTGAATTGAGTGACACCAGATTTAAGCGACAGATCACAGATTACTGTGCCCCATCTGCACGAGCCAGTCCACCTAAGCCATACTCCTGGGGTCAGCCTTTCTGTGAAGATTCTGATTATATTTGGCATGTTGGTGGCATGATTCCCTGTGTAAAAAAGGTATAGATAGGGATGTGAATATTTTATTGCTTAATCTGTGATGTGTTATCAAAGCAGTAGTTGGCTCAATACTTTGGTTTCCTTCATTCACTTTTTCCTCTCTCTGTCTTTTCTTTAGGAAAATACTACCATCTACCTTATGTGAGGCTCTAAATTTGTATGTGTCCTTGGCTAGCAGATATAAAATTGTTTTAAATGTGTGTATTTTTAGTTTACGTACATTACAGACCCTTTGTCTCTTTTACTGTAGTCTCAAATACAATTTTAAAATCATTTTAATCTTACAGGAAAGTTTTAACAATGGAACAAAAAAGTCATGCACTCTTTACCCAGATTCTGTTTTCTCTCCCTCTCCATATGTATTTATATATGTCTGTACTTAAGCTCATCATTATTTTGAATCCTTTGAGAGGAAGTTGCAAAGATCATGACTTAAGTACTTAAGTAGATATTAGTGAAGAACTAGACACTATACTTGACCAAGTCTCAAAATCAGGAAATTGAACATCAATATAGTACTATTATATAATCTACAGTTTCATTGTCGCCAATTTCCTGCTAAATCTCCTGCATAGGAATTTTTTTCCTGCCTCCAGCTCCTTACCAGGATCAGTCTCACATTTATTTTTTTACGTTCCTTTGATCTGTTTTAATCGGCAAATGTTCCTCAGGCTTTCCTTCTCATGACATGGGCCTTTGAAAGAGCACAGGCAATTATTTTATAGAATGTCCCTCAAATTGGGTTTGTCTATTTTTCCAATTAAGGGTCCACTGAGTGGGTATTTATTTTTATTTTATTTTTTAACAGCATTTATAAGCGCTCTTCATTTTGCTATGTCTGAATCCAGTTCGTTGATTGTGCCTGCTGCATAGAATTCTCCAGCGAGGTCTGCCATTTGGAGTGAATTGGCCAGGCTGATGGGAAAAGCAGCCAGAAGACTTTCCTTGGCATCAGGAGAAGATCCTGATGGGGACTGTGTGACACTGGAAATCAGCACATACCTTTGATGCGGGCATCAGGGTCACTGCCTTGCTTTGGGCCGATGGTTGAGAAAGCAAGCAGATGAGGCCCAGCATTTCTAAGGCAGAAGGAGCGATTATGCTTGTGAAGATAAGGCATGATGGAAGTTGATTTTTTGATCCTTCCTTCCTTCGTGCACTTAATAAACAGTGATTAAGGGCCTGCTCTCCTCATGGGAGCTCACCTTCTGGCATATTGAAAACCAAAATGAAAGCATTAAATCGAAAGCTCTTCCTCTGACAGATGCAAATGTTTTACAATGAAAGGTTCAGATAAATAGTTTGACAGTGTTTTTCATTGTATTAGTGAAGCACCCTTACAGAAAATTATGCTCATGACTCTTGACCTAAATACAGTGATTTCCATTTCTTTCCGGTTTTCTCGGAAATTCACCAGCAGGGAACATAATTTTTGCATGGTTCTCTCCATAGTTCATAAATAATTGTGCATTCCACTTTCCTCCAGTGGAAATTATTTTGTACATACTTTCCCATATTTCACAACCTGCTTATTTATCACTCATAATGACTGTCATAAATTACATCAAGCTGATCTACTGTAATTTACGCATTTCTCTTTTGTTGTAAATTTGGCTTGCTTCTAGTTTTCTGCGAATATTGGAGGAAAAAAACCCTTTTTTTAAAGGAAGTGTATATAACAGCTTCGTGGGTTAAAGCAGTTTTGACAGGTTGTTTCATCTAAAATTGTTCATTCTAACCTGTGAAAAAGGTTGCATCCCTGTGGAGAAAACACAGCCTGCCTTTTTAAGGGAGAATTTTTCCTTGCTGGTGTTTGAGCCTCCATTTATAATGGAAAGATAATTAGTAGAGATGGAGCTGATATATATAGAGCTTTCTCCATTGACTACCTTCCATGTGTTGTTAGGAAATAGCACATTTCCAGTGGCGAATAAGAGGAGTGATGGACAGTACAGCGAAGTTACAAGGCTGTATTGTGACTGCTCCCGACTCCCAGCTGACACACTCATTCATTGGCCTTGACTCAACTGGATGGTCTCTCGGTTCTTGCCTTTTGAGAAGCAGTGGAGGAATATGTCAGTCTTTGGCAGAAGACAGTCAACTTCCTTCCAGCCTGGAGGCCTGATTAGTTGTCAGTCTTCCTTACTTTGGAAGCACCTGGAGCTGACTCCTCCTACAGCTGCTCTGAGCATGTACTGGAGAGGGCAATGAATGGATAGGCCATCAGGAGGAATTGAAATTCACTTACGGTCTCTAGAGCACCCCACCTAGAATCTTCTGAGCATCTAAGGATAAGTTGAATTCTCAGGCAGGCTCTTCCTTCCCCTTCTCAGGAGAGGAGGTCTTGAGAGGCACTTGCTAGGGGTGAGGTGGAGGCCTGTGATCAGCTGGTGTTTGCAGGGACTATTTCTTCTTCTTCTTCTTTTTTTTTTTTTTAATTCTTAATGTTTTATTTATTTCTGAGAGAGAGAGAGAGACAGACAGACAATGTGAGCAGGGGAGGGTCAGAGAGAGAGGGAGATACAGAATCTGAAGCAGGCTCCAGGCTCTGAGCTAGCTGTCAGTGCAGAGCCTGAAGCGGGGCTCGAACCCATGAACTGTGAGATCATGACCTGAGCTGAAGTCTGACGCTCAACCAACTGAGCCATTCAGGCGCCCCTTCAGGGACTATTTCTAAAGAGAGCACAGATCTCAGGATTTGTGAGTAGGGCTTGTTAGGGCAGCACAATTGAGACCATTCAGTTGTTCAGTAGGTTCTGTAGGTACCTTCAAAGATCCGGGGGCTGTTGCCTCCTCCGAGTCATTTATGTCTTCTTGTATCTTAGGAAGATTTTGTTTTCATGTACAGAACTTTCTTTTCTTGCTCCTTGAGGGCAGGATTTTGTATGTCTGGCTTGTTGTTCTCTCTCTTGTTGCCTTGTGTGGAGCTCTGAGCAAAAATAGTGCTCAATATGGGTGCCTGGGTGGCTCAGTCAGTTGAGTGTCTGACTTTGGCTCAGGTCATGATCTTGTGGTTCATGAGTTTCAGCCCTACATCATGGTCACTGCTGTCAGTCAGTCTGGAGCCTGCTTTGGATCCTCTGTCCACCCTCCCATCCTCCCCGCCCCCCCAGCCCCTCTTCCACTTGTGCATACTCTCTCTCAAAAATAAACATTTAAAAATAAAAGTGCTCAATAAATATTTATTGGTTGTATGATTTTGTGCACTAAGGCTATTATCATGTGGGCAACTGCTACTCTCTTGTTGAGAAGAATGTAGAAGTGAGGAGCATCTAGATAAACCAAAGCCAGGGAGGAGCAGAGTGCAAAAGGGAGTGCCTGGACTTTGCAGCTGGGCAGAGGGAGATCCTCATCCCAACTTAACTACTCCCTGTCTTAACTTGGTTGACCCATTTATGTTCTCTGAACCTTAGCTTTCTCTCCTGGAAATGTGGATCAAACCACTTTACTCACAGAGTATGTGTAAGGTTTGTTGCTCAAAGTAGACAGGTAAAAATGTTTTCCTCTTCCTTTCTCTGCTCAAAGAGTGAAGATAGAAAGCCAGCAGGGGTACAGTTAACATGTTCAAGTCTTGTTAAGTAGATCTTGAGTAACATTCATGTTACCCATAATCAAAAATGTGCCACATACTGCCTCCGTTTCTCCATACCAGCACCTAATGCCATGAGTACTTCAAACAACATGCATACCCTTCAGTTCTGCTTTGAGCTTCTTTATTAGTAACTGTGTCCTTTGCCCCTACAGGATTTATGAACGTGTGATAGACCCTCCTGAAACCAACCTCCCCCCAGGAAGCAATGTATGGCTTGGTCAACGCAGCCAAAAGCATGGCTTATTCAAAGTAAGCACTTCTTTATACTTCTTCCATGTACTTTTTCTATGTGCTTGACATGAATAATTGTCAGAACAATTCTGGGAAGTAAGTGCTTTGAAACTATGCAGAGTTAAGTCACTTGTTCAAGGTCACATAGGATGATGCATAATGTAAATCATACTCTAAATGTTTCTTACTGACCTAATTCTGGGAGACAGGGTCATCTTCAAATCTTCCATTCTCAGCATCTTGTGGTGCTCTCAACTCCTATGAGCTTTTCCTTTCTGATCTACAAAGAGTAATACAATAACTGTATTATTATACTTTATAGAAACGGTATATTGATAAAATGAAGAAGTTAAAAACATCATGAAATTTTAAGAAAGTCTTGTTCTTCAATAGAATGGCAGACTTTTGCTTCTGGCAATGTGGTAGAATAGATATTTTAAAAATTCTGCTTCAAAATGCCTATAAATGCTGGATAAAACAGAACAAAAATCTTTGAAGACCCATTGTTGCACTTATAAGAAAGGAAATTCTTAGAGGCCAAATATATAGACAAAAGTAAAAACCAGAGGGATGTCTTCCAGTACCAAGAATTTGAAAAATCCTTTTCCGTTATTCCAATATGATGGAGATATAATTGACATATAACAGTATATAACTTGAAGATGTTTAACTTTTTGATTTGATATACTTGTACATTGAAAAATGATTGTCAGCAGTATTAACCATCACCTGCCTCATCTCACATAAGTCTCATTTCTTTTTTGTTACGAGAACATGTAAGACATACTCTCTTGGCAAAATTCAAGTACATAATACAGGATTGGGCACTATAATCACCATGCTGTACATTAGATCCCCAAAACTTACTCGTGTTATAACTGGAAGTTTGTATACTTAGACTAGTGTCTCCTCATTTCTCCCAGCCCCTGGCAACCAGCATTCTGCTGTCTCTATGAGTTTAGGTTTTCATATATAGATTGTACATATAAGTGGTATCATGCAGTATTTGTTTTTCTCTGTCTTATTTCATTTTGCATAATGCCCTCCAAGTCAATTTACGGTGTCGGAAATGGCAGGATTTTTTTTTCCCTCATGGCTGAATAATATTGTACATGTACCACAATTTTTTAGCCATTCATCTGTTGACATATACTTAAATTTTTTATGTCTTAATTGTTGTGAGTAATGTGGCAATGAATATGGGGGTGAAAATCCCTCTTTGAGGAAGATATTTAATTTCCTTTGAATATATACTCCATAATCCATCCAGATGGGGGCTTGCTGGATTATATGGTTGTTTTATTTTTTGAGGAATTTCCATGGCTATACCAATTTATATTTCCACAAACAGTGCACAGGGTTCCTTTTCCACTACACTTGCTTTCTTTCGTCTTTTTGATGATAGTCATTTTAACATGTGTAAAGTGATATTTCATTGTGGTTTTGATATGCATTCCCTGATGATTAATGATGTTGAGCACTTCATGTATCTATTGGCCATTTGCACGTCTTTGGAAAAAGAGGCCTTTGACTACCTCTGCCCATTTAATAATCAGCTTTTTTTTCCTGTTATATCGTATGAGTTTTTAAATGCATTTTGGTTATTAACATCTTATCAGATTGCTGATTTGCCAATGTTTTCTCCCTTCCCTTTCATTTTGTTGACTGTTTCTTAGGTTTTTGTTGGTAGATCCACTTATTAATTTTTGCTTTTATTGCTAATGCTTTTAGTGTCCTATCCAAAAAACAATTGCCAAGACTAGTGCCAAGGAGCTTTTCCCGTTTTCTTCCAGGAGTTTTATGGTTACAGAAATCCAATGTCTTCTTAATGTGGTTATCCAGTTTTCCCAAAACCATTTGTTGAAGAAACCATTCTTTCCTTATTTGTCAAGGAAATGTTGATAATCATGTTGATTATACGTGCAGCGGTTTATTTTTGAGCTCTCGATCCTGTTTCATTGGTCTATGTGTCTGTTTTTTTTCTTTTCTTTTTTTTTTTTTTGCCAGTATCATATTGCTTTGCTTACTATACCTTTGTAGTATACATTTGACCCTTGAACAGAAGGGGTTTGAATTGCACAGGTCTACTTACACATGGATTTTTTTTCAATAAATACAGTACAGTAATGAAAGTTTATTTTCTCTTAGGATTTTAACTTTATTGTAGGAACACAGTATATAATACATAAAGCTTATAATTATGTTATTGGTAGGATTATGGCCAACAGTAGGCTATTAGTAGTTAAGTATTGGGAGAGTCAGAAGTTACTAACCCCTGCATTGTTAAAGGGTCTAATGTAGTTTGAAATCAGGAAATGTAATGCATCTAGCTTTGTTCTTCTTTCTTAGGATTGATTGCTTTGGCTATTAGGTCTTTTGTGGTTTGAAACACTGTTTGTTTGTTTGTTTGTTTGAAAGTGCCATTTAGATTTTGATAGGGATTGCACTGAGTCTATAAAAAGTTTCTGGTAGTATGGACATTTAAACAATATTTTTCCAATTTGTGAATATGGGATATCTTTACATTTGTGTCTACTTCAATTGTTTTTTAATCAAAGTCTTGTAGTTTTTAGTGTACAGATTTTTTTCACCTTCTGCTTAATTTTCTAAGAATTACACTGTGTTTGATGCTGTTGTAAGATTCTTTTATTTTTCAGATAGTTCATTGTTAGTGTATGGAAATGCAACTGATTTTTGTAGATTGGTTTTTATAACCTGCAGATTTACTGACTTCATTGATTAGTTCTAAAACTTTTTTTGGTGGAATAGTTACAGTTTTCTATATGTAAAATCATATCATCTGCAAACAAAGGCCATTTAATTACTCCTTTCTGACTTGGATGCCTTTTATTTCTTGTCCAGGTGTTCTGATGAGGACTTCTAGTACTGTTTTGAGTAGGAGTAGTTAGAGTTGGGTACCTTTGCCTTGTTTCTCATTTTAGCGGAAAAGCATTTAACTTTTTACTGTTAAGTATGATGTTAGCTGTGGACTTGTTATACATGGCTTTTCTCATGTTTACGTATGTTCCTTCTATGCTCACTTTTTTGAGTCTTTTTACCATGAAGGGGAGTTGTATTTCATCAATTCCTTTTCTGCATCTAAGAGATGATCATATGATTTTTTCATCTCTCATTCTATTAGGGTGTGTCATATTTATCGATTAGCATATGTTGAACTATTTTTGCATTCTAGGGATAAATCTTGATCATGATCTATGATCCTATAATGTGTCATGAATTCAGCTTGTTAATATATTCTTACATCTATATTTTTCAGAGTTATTGGCCTGTAGTGTGCTTGTAGTATTCTTACCTGATTTTGGTATAGGATAATGCTGGTCCTCTGAAATCATTTGGGGAATTGGGGAAGACTTCCTAATTTTTCCAGAAGAGTTGAAAAGGATTGGTGTTAAGTCATACTTAAATGTTTGGTAGAATTCACTGATGAAGTCATTTGTTCCTGGGCTTTTCTTTCCCTTTAAAAATGAAGGTATAAATTATATAGAGCATAATTCATTCCTTCAAATAATTGGTTTTGAGTTTTAGAAATTTGAGAGTCCCAACCCCCCTGTCATAGTCAAGATAAAGGACAATGCCATAACCTCCCCAAATTCCTTTGTAACCCTTTTGATTCATCTTTCTAATCCTGAATTGAAGGACTATTCTGTATCACATTGCAAGGATATGGATGGCAGGAAGGAAGGAATTTTGGACCATTTTAATCTATTAAGCAAGATAGAGAGCCACACTTAGACATATTACTGGAACAGTAGAACCCCAAAGACACAGAAAAGGTACTAATGGTAGCCCCTAAAAGGTAAATTTTTCACAAAACAATAACATAGATTGAACAGCTGGCTTTTAATCAGTAACAGCAGAAGCCAAATGATAATAGAAAGAATGTTTTCAAAGTTTTCAGAGAAAATAACTCCCAAATGTAGTAGCATATATCCAGCTTAAATATCATCTGAGAATGAACATGAGATAAGAATTTATAGATAAATAAAACTGTTTTATGACCAATAGATGCTCATTAAAGAAACTTTGCAAAGAAAATACATACGAGGTAAGGCAATAGGTGAACAAATGGAGAGTATACACAAACTTTAATCATTACTTGATTAAATAATAATGCCCAAACAACTACAGGGAAAAAGTAATGCCCAATTTTGAAAAAAAATAAAATTAAAAATATTAGAAGACAAAATGCTGGGGTTATCTGATGTTAAAGCCCTGTGAGGCCTTGTATTTAGAAAGTGAATAGAGATACTGGCTAACTATTAGTTCACATGTTAAAAATTTAAACTAATACCAAAGTAATAGAAATATTGCTTCCAGATTTAAGTATTTAAAAAATGTTTTTAAGGTTTATTCATTTTCTCAGAGACAGAGAGTTAGGCAGGGAGAGAGAGGGAGACACAGAATCTGAAGCAGGCTCCAGGCTCTGAGCTGTCAGCACAGAGCCCGATGCGGGGCTTGAACTCACGGACCGTGTGATCATGACCTGAGCCGAAGTCCGATGCTTAACTGACTGAGTCACCCAGGCACACCCAGGTTTAAGTATTTGAAAAAGAGATATTCGTAAAAAGTCCTATTAACTCTGGGGCACCCGGGTGGCTCAGTTAGTAAAGAATCTATTCATTGGTTTTGGCTCAGGTCATGTCATGGTTTGTGAATTCCACCCCCCAACTGACAGTGGCAGAGCCTGCTAGGGATTTTCTCTCCCTCTCTCTCTGCCCTTTCCACATGCTCTTTCTGTCCCTCTCTCAAAATAAATAAACGTTAACAAATAAAGTTCAGTCAACCCATAATAAGGCAGAAGAGATGAAAGTTTAAATAGAAGCTAGTTATAGATATAATTTCAGTTCATAATATTTACTAACATATTAAGTGATTTATACGTATTGGTTAAATGTCTGAGTACTATATTGGCTTCATAAAACTCCAATTCTGATGTATATTGTTTATATTGAAACAATAAAAAATAAAGATTTATTCATTGCTTTTGTGGGCATTGC